TGGCAAGGAAATCATAAGCTACTTTAACAGAGAACCTGCCCTTAGACGCCACTTTCTACCAAAGAACATCATCTTGATTGTTTAAAGGACATTTTATATTAAGATATCATATATTTAAGTACATTGTTATAGATATTTAAAAAATTTAAAAATATTTATATTGTTATATTTTATTATTTTTAATCTATAAAACATCACAAAATAATATTTGAAATATATTTTGATATTGATTTTTAAATTTTAAGACCCACATACTTTTTCTACAAAAAGTTTGGGTCTTTTACATCGTTCAAGCACCAAAAAGAATTTTATAAAATAAAAATAAATAATTTTGAAGTAAAAAATTAAATCAAAATTAATTTTTAAAATAAAAATTTTGATAATTCAAGTGTTTAGGTTTTGGGTCAGGCTTAGCCATTTAAGCTTTTTAAAAAATTCAAGTTTATTCATGTCTGGCCTATTAGGGCCAAGCTCAAATAAGTCTAACCCATCTAAATTGCCGGCTCTAATTTTGGACCACTTGGACAAATTTTGTTGTTTAATGGGCCTTGGAAGCTATTTCACCTAACTCATCCCATAAGGACATTTGGATAATCTTACTAAACATGCACCTTACAAGTTTATTAAATCTTTTTGCCCTACGTGCACCTAGTATTTGGTGTTTTTTGGACCTTAACTAATTAAGATCGTAAAAGTATTTAAAATAATTAGATATCTAGAATTTAAATTTAAGACCTTTAAATAAATTAGCATAGCTCTCAAGTAGCTAAATTACGCGCTTGTTGTTCAAGTTTGTTGAATTCTTTTAGAGGAAAGATGTGCACTTGAATTTTTTTTATAGATAGATAAAAATCCTAGTGGCAACCAGTAACACCACCTCCCTTATTTGCGAGAGGTCTTGAGTTTAAAACTAACATTGACGTGTTTGCATGTATGTGTAGGTAGATGCATTTTCCTTTCACATGAGGAAACTAGATTAGGCGGTAAGATTTTGAACAGATAAAAATCTTAAGAATTTAAAAAATAAGAAAGAAAGAAAGGTGGGAAAAGACAAATAATTCTTTATAAGACCAAGAAACATTCTTTACCCTCATGCATATTAAAAATATAAGTAATAATTTATTTTACTTTACAAGCTGTGACTTTATACTTGTTAAAAACATAAGTAACAAAGTATTTTATTTAAATTTTTTAATTTTCGTAAATTAAAATTCTAAATAACAAAAATTTTCCACTAAGTTGGGTACTTAAATTTCTACCATTTATATAAATAAAATTTATAATAACTTCATCCTTAATCCTTCGTCTACCAATCCATTTTTTCCTGCATGTATTCATTACACACCTTTTTTCACTGTAGATCCTAGTATCCAACATTTTTCTTTGATATATAAAAATAAAAAAAACATTTAGAAAGCGTTATGTGGGGTCATTTAAACGGTAATTACAATCTATGTAGATGTATAAATTGAAATAAGAAAAATACTCTACTGTAATATCAATGATAGGAAGAGGATTGCTCACATGATATGCATTACATTCACCTTAATCTCTGATTTCCAAATGCTTTCAAAAAATTAGGCAATCACTTTCTTATTTGTCTTTTGGGCATAAACATATGCTCCTTTCAATCCTTTTTTATAAGCCCTTCTTCATTACCTTATTGTGATTGAAATCAAATTAAAGACATTATTTGTATGTAAATGAATAAGTGAAGTAGGATAATGAATAATATTCTGTAAGTAAATAAATAAATAAAATAGGACAATAAACAAATGAAATATGATGGTTTTGATATTAATTTAAATTATAAAAATTTTTATTATTTCTCTCAAAAATTTAACATCAAATCAAGACTCCTAGATTGCAGTGATTTTTCAAAAATTTAGGGGCTTTGATTCAAAATATATTTTGGTCAAAGGGTCTTTATTGATATTTTTCTTAAAGCTTTTGATCAATTTCAATCATACTTCCTTTGATTGTATGCAGTCTAACTGGATGTGGACTGAAGAGTTGAGAGAATTGTAATTAAAAGTAGAACTATCAATTATGATTGAGTCGACCCTTAAAAGATTAGAGCCTAAATGAGCGGGTCTTGTTAAGCTTGATTATATCTCAGGCTCCATTTTGATCGATCTCATAACGATCCTTAGGGCTCCGATCCTCAGGGCCTTGGCTCTATATAAATATATATATTTGAATTTAAAAATCTAAAAGAATATATTTAAAATCTCATACACATAACATTAATGCTAGAAAAACAAATTTAAGTCTATAAAAAAACAATAAATTTAAGTCTAATAAAAAACAAAATCAACTCTAATAACAATCAGACTTTGCTAACATTATCTTCTAAATCTTGATGATTTTTATCATCATCAATACTAATATAATTTCATCTTTTTTTTTGTTAAAACTTTATCGGTGACAAAGATATTAAAATTTTCATATATTCTTTTTTTGTTTTTGTGAAAATGATGTTAGAGTTTTAGAATTAGTGTAGTATTTAATATTTTTAATATTAAAATTTAAAAAAATTATAAAAAAACTTAAAAGGTTGATCCTTTTATTTTAAAGTTTAAAAGAACTTATTATTTTATATTTTAAAGTGGTTGATTTTAATTGACAATTCTAACAAAAAAAAAAGCAAACTTTTTTGATAGCATTGGAGCTGACAAGTTAATTTTGATTGGAGACTACCCCAAGGCACTTTCTCATTTAATCGCGTTGAATCATATGATGACTTGGCTAGATGGTTATAGTACAGTATAAGACAGTTTCAAAGCTTAGGCATGATCTCGTAGACTTGAAGCGACCACCTAAAAGAGGTTATTGCATAATAAAGCACTTGAATTGTTTGATTGGTCGGACAAAGATCGATAATGGGACGTGTCAAATCATGTATGGTTGGCTTCAGATCAACTCCAAACGATTTTTTACGGTTAATCAATCATAAGCCATGCCTGGCTAGTGTTTTTGTTTTGTTTGGTTTTTATTTTGTATGGAAGGATGAGAATGCCAACAAGAAGACGGTAAAGTTGGCCACAAGCACCAAAGGGCCCAAATATTCGGCCATAAGCCCATAAGTCCCAAAGGTCTAAATAAGAAATGATGGGTATCATGATCCAGGAACAACCATATATATTGAGAGAAAAAAATAAAATACTCTTCATTTTTGCACTAATCCATTAAAATCATCCATGAATATTCAATAATGTATACTTTGAAGGAAAGTGCAGAATAAAAGGATTTTTTAATATTTTTGCTGAAAAAAAAAATTGTCTCTCAACTATCGTTGCTTCCTGCAAACTTTATTTCTCCATTTGAGACTCATGTCCAAATATTTTTTTTTTTGGTCCTTATGGCTAATTATCCCCAAAGATAATTATGCTTGATTTGCAATTGGTATTTACGAGAACCAATACTTTGTAAAGAAAGACGTGGGTGAATGAAGAAGATGCTGGTTACCATCCTGAGCATCCGCACCAGAGAGGATCCGTATGTGGCGGGTGGTGACGGTGTTTGCTGGGTGGTGGCCAGCTCACAGAGGATCCGTATGTGTCTCCAAAAGCGGCAACATGAATTCGCAGTCTCAAAATTGGGCTTGACGGTTTCTTCATTTGCGTCCACACGAGGCCCACTCCAAGCCCATCTTCCCTCACATCGATTGCCGAAAAGGGCAGAGAGAGAGGAATAGCTCGAGAACCCAAAAAATGCGGTCATTAATGAAGAATGGTAACGCAACGGAGACATCCATTAATGGCTCTTCATTCTCAGCTTCCATTAATTCCCTCCTCTCTGTTTCTCTCTTTTCGTCTGTCCCATTGCTTTCCTTCCTCAGTCCCCACCTCCCATTTTGCCCTTTCAAATTCTCCTTCCCTTCCTTCTCTCTCTCCTTCTCCGTTTAATCCTTCTCTTGTTTTGCCGATGATAATGATCACTCACACTCATCTGATATGCTCTGTTCACTGCTCTGATAAAACGGATTTGCCTAATAATACAACCAATCACCATTTTCTTCTTCGTTTTGTCTCTTTTCTCTATCTGTTCCCTGTTCATATTCAACTTGGTTCTCCCTGATTTTGAATGCCTAATTGATAATAATCTAACGTCCGCCCTCTTGTGACTACTAAATTATTCACCATCGCGTTTGTTCTCTTGTGTCACAAGAGAGACTGTTCGGAAGATTCAAGGAATCTTTCAGCTGCTCTTGCCTTATAGTATACTTGTTGTTATAACAAGCCTACGCATGAGGGTATTAGCCATCGAGCAATATCCGCATCATATGGCTTTCCTTCGATGTGATCATCATTCAAAACTGAAGCATGTGAATTTAAATACAATAAACGGACCAATCAGTACATTCGTCATGTGAATCCTCTAGCTGATTGGGTCAACTTTTCACCAGCTTCTGGATTCCATGTTCTTGGTTAAATAATTTCCTATAATTTGACCTTTGGCCGCGATAGAGTAACAGTTTCCTAATAGACCAAATATATATATTTATCTTTTCCGGCTCAGAACTTTAAATAATAACTTAATCACACGAAGATCTCACTTTTCTTGAGCACAAACGCACAAAAAAGAAAGAAACGGAACTCGTCACTCAATTCATATCGTCCTTTTGCTCGAGATGAGTATGTAATATTGCAGCTCCTGAGGTAACCAACAACTTTCAAATTTTCAATGGAGAAGAAAGCAACTTTTCTTTGGTGGGGGCTTCAGAAAACGAGTGAACCTTTTTGTATTCTTTTGGAGGAAAACAAATTCAAGAGGTCCAGCATAAACCAGCGCAAGAGAGTGAGACAACTTTTATTTTTTTCAAACTCCGGCTTCAAATCAAACAAAAGCTTCCCATCCCATCACCATCTTTTTCTCCTTTTAGGCCCGGAAGTCCAACGCAGAGGGCCTTGTTTGCCATTTCAGTCCAGCGATCTTTTCAACGGAGGATAAAATTTAAAAAAGTCTGGTAGACAACTTTCTCATAACATCAAAATGCATAACAAAACAATGAAACATCTCTATTTTAGGTCTTTTCGTTGATTTTACTACCACCTTTGCGGATACAGTTCTTTGTCAGTTTATCTGAATATATGAAGAAATATCGCGACGGGGAGCACAACAACAACAAAGAAGAAAATCCCACGAGTAGAAGATTCAGCTCCAGACAAGACAAAAAGAAAATATAACTTAAAGTAACTTAGATTGAATGGGAAATGGAGTATCATAAACGCGAACTAAGTTAAGTTAGAGCTAGACTATTTTCCATGGAAACAAACACAGATAACAGATCATTCTTGAGTCTTAAAACCAGTCAGAGAACAGGGCTTCCCAAATCTCAGTGAAAACCTCTACAATAATCTTATGATGATTATGCGAATTGAGGGACAGGAAACACTGCAGGAGATTCTCCAAATCCTCGGGCGCAAATATCTGTTTCTCAACTATCATTTCCACCATGGACGTCCTGAAATCATTGTAAGGGTCACTGGACTGCTTCACTACGGCGAAGGTATCCTTCACTCTTCCCTTCAATGGCATCACGCCCATTTCAGAACTTAGGCTCTCCGGACCCACTCGGTCACCGTCCTCCTTCTTTTTCTGGCAAGACCGATGACGCCGGCGGCGAGAACGGGAGGAATCCGAAGAGAGGCTTCTAGAAGAGAAAAGCGTGTCGGTCTCATCCTCTCCTTCGCTGTCGTCGTCATCGTCGTTGCTGTACCACCAATATCCTCCTATAGTCCCGTCCTGAGCGCAAGAGTTGAATGGGAACATATCCGAGGGCTTTCTTTTCTTACGGGTACCTTTCTTCTTCTTCTTCTTCTTAATCTTCTCGTTCCTCCCTGAATGTCTCAATTTCTCACAATAACCAAACTCGTCCTCGTATACTGGATTCAGAGGCGTGATTGGCGAAGCCGGGGGACAAGACCTCCCTCCGTGATTGCCCCGGCGGAACGGCGATGACGGCCACTCAGAAACTTTCTTTCTGGGAAGCGAAGAATCAATAGTTTCAGAGGTTTCCAAGGCTTTGGGTCCGCATATGGAAGGAAAGGGACGGGGTTTAGGAGACGATGGGTCGATAGGGTGAAAGCCACGGTGGTCGTGGTGGGGAAAGACAGCTTTTTCAGTGACATCGGAGAAGTTGCGGGCGCGGCAAGAGGCGAAAGAGGATCGGAACATGCGAGAGATTCGCATCTTGAGACGGGTTTCCATTAGAGGAAAAGGAAAGTAATGGGAAGGAAGAAAGGCGCAGAGAGAGAGTATAAGAGAATGTGGAGGTGGAGAGCTGCGATGGGTAAAAAGAAAGGAAGTGGGAGAGAGGGATAAATGCATGGGAAACCGAAAGTGGAAGTCGTATATATAATCATATTCAAATCTTCTGAAACCGACTTTATGCTCGTTTTCTCGTCCTCTTCCCCGTCCTCATTGACTTATTATTCATTATTAGCTTTAAAAGTTGCCCCTTTGTAGGTTTTAAGCACAAGCTCCACGCTAATCTTTCTCCTCATTAAGTTCACTATTGAGCCCTCCAAATCCAACTATTTTAAAATGGTTCACTGCCATATTTATCTCTTTTAATTGAATTACAGACTATTATTTTTGGTCAAAAAAAATTACAGACTATTATTGAATCACTTTACTAATCAAGCTTTTTTTAAAATAATTAATTAATCACACTTAATTTGGTTGAATTTGAATTTTATTTGATTAATATAATAATCATTAGCATGAATAAATAGATTATTGAAAAGGTATAAAGATAAAAGAAAGCATAAAAACTGTACCCACTTATCCTGCTTTTATTTATAAATTATTTTTTAACATATTTTATTGAAATCAATAAAAACTTTAAAATGTAATGTCTAAAATTATTTAATAAGTTAACTCCCATTAGATAGACATACTTTTATCACACCGATATTTTAATGGGGATTAAAAAAAACTTTATATAAAATGTTAATAATATGTCTTATAAATAAGAATAACAAAATCATTCTCTCTCTCAAATAAACAGGACTGGAGATGGAGAACAGTGGATAAAACTTATAATTTGGAAGCTTTCTCATAATGTAGGTTTTAACTTTGCGGTGGAACCGTACTAGAAAAAGTGTGATAAAACTTGCGGGACAAGAACGCCAGAACAAGAGGCTTACAAAAGAAGAGCCATGCTCACTTGGCCGCCAAGTTTGGAAGATTCAAGTTCAGAGACAGAAGTAGTAATAAACTAGTAATTATGAAACTAGAAAGATATCGGCTGAAAGTGCTGGGATTAATGATAACCCTTTCACTTTCCACGCAATGGGAATAAAGGAATTATATAATAAATTAAAGTAAGTGTTGGTAGTCCCAGAGGAAACAACCAAATAGTGGATGCATAGAGTGTACGTTGGGGACCGGTAGGGGATGATGATCATTTAACAAGTGAGTATAATGGAAGAAGTTGCAGGCGCTTGATGGTGTTTGAAATTCAAACGGTACGTGCGTGCCTGCGTGCTATGCTCTGTTATATAAAAAGGGATCCGACTCCACCATATCTGATATCCCCAAGTAGCGATAACAGTGCCAAAACAAAAGCTTCCTGCATTGCTATAGCCTTTTTGCAAGAATCTTCACCTAATGCTCCTTTTCTTCTACATCAATCTCCTATCAAATGAATTTCACATGTGTTCGTTTAATTTATTCCACACTTATCGTGAGTTTACATTTCATTGTCATAATCTTTCTTGGAATACATTATATTCATACAAATAGAAAAGGTTTTTTCTTTTTTTTTAGTGATTAAAATTATTTTTCATATTTATTTCTATAGGCAATGTTATTTAAGAGAGTATAAAAAATCTATTTTCTATGTCAAGGCTAAAACAGATGTAGAAATGCATCAATTTTTTTTTTTTTAAATAACATGTTACTTTTTACATTAGTTATGTAGCTCAACTGATTTTTGCTGCTGTTAAAGTCATAACCAATGTAGAAAGTCTTTATTTTTTTTAATATTGTATCTATTTTTTCAATTACACATCATTGCACACAAAAAAATGCTACAGCTAAATAGTACAACTCATTTACAATTGCCAACACAAATCATAATTTAGTTTAGTTATCCAAAACTAACAATTATTTAACATGATTCACATAAAAAAATTACAATAATTAAAATTCTCAGAATCAACTATCAACATTATCAACAAAGATATTCAAAACTTATTTAAATTAATAAATTTATTAAATTATCTATAACTATCTATAAAACTACACTTTTTACATAGGGTGAAGCAATCATGTAAAAAGTGTTTTTTACACAATCTGCGGAGGCATCTGATGTATAAAATCTAATGGTTAAGTGCAAATATTACAAAACTGCCACCATTTAAATTTTCTACATCATTTGCATTTCAATCAATATATAAAGTCTCTTGTAAAATTCATAATTTATACTAGCATTTATCTATATAAGATATTCAAACCTCACTCTTTTATATCAACATCAACAAACGGATAACAAGAGTAAAGAATATTGCATCTTAATTTAAAACTTTAAAACTTAAGTTTATAAGTCCTTTCACTTTATTATATTATTTTTTAAACTCAATTTTATCTTATGTGATAATTTTTACAACAACTCAAGTTCACTCACTCTTAAACATGATTAAATCACAATATTCATAACTTATGAACAACATACAGAGGTTGTTATAAATTTCACATTTTATATATAAATAATGATATTGATATATTGACTCTTTTATTCGTAATAACAATTATGATCATTCAAGAACTCCATATTTTACTTTTTAGAATGAGAAAGAATATAATTGAAACAGGTATTGATCAAAATTAATCTTGACCACACTATTGATAATATTTTTGTTACAGAATTATATATCCACTCATTAGACTAGTAATTAATATATATTTTTGTGACAAAAGTTATCTTCGTATAAAATTAATTTAAAATTGTTTTATGTCTCATGAATTAATATATATATATATATCCTAAATATACAAAATTTTAATTATTAAGTTATCGTACATTTTGATATGAAAGCTCAACATAGAAAGACTTGCAAAGCTATATGTGATGGTCAAATATTTGACAGTCACATCCCATAATAAAATTATTGATAGGAGTTGCTATTTTTTTTTTTTTTACAAATACGTGAATTTACATGTTTGTATTTTGGAACCGAAAAAAAAAAAGTCACGTTTCAAGTAGAAGACACAAATAAAGACATAATCCTATAATTTCATCATGACTGCATTATAATTATAAATAAAAAAAGTATTTAAGCTTTTCATTAAAAAAATATTTAAACTACCCTCATATCTCACAAGTTTGGATCTCTCTCTCTCTCTCTCTCTCTCAATACATATTCTCAGCAATCATGGAAAAAGAGGGAGGAGGGAAAGAGAAGAATTGCGCTTGTTCCTTGATTTTCTTCATTACATTACATTATGGTCAAATTGTAAATTGCATTACGAATGACAAGTAATACTATTGATATATCTATATATGAAATTGTACGCTTTCTCATAACCTCCGTGTATATTCCTTTCAAATAGACTTTAAAGTAGAGTACAACTGACTAATTTTATGCATGCGTGGAAGGGTACATAAATAACGGATATACCATACCTATATATTTTGATCACCCTAACTAGATCTAAGTCTAAGGCACTATGAACTGTGTAATCTATAGTTTCTATAACTAATTGTTGGACAGCGACCCTTCACCCAACAATTTGAATCAAATTGGTAGTTACTTCCCATTTCGTGTTTCTCAATATTTCAATTATTGCTTCCCCTTAATCAAAAATACCAATTAAGTTCAATAACCAACAAAACCTAAAATCTATATATATCTCTCTCAATGGTTTGATTTGGACGCCTTCCTTCCTTTCAAGATAGAGAGGGCTAGGGAAGAGGACGAGGGTCTCCCAATATATTTCTCCGTTCACGGAGGTGAATTAAGAAAGCGAGCAAAAAAGTTGATTGTGACTGTTTCGCGCACACAGAAAGAGAGAGAGATAAAGAGATTTAAAAAAATGGTTTTGATTTCGAGATGTGAGCGAGAGGGATATACTAGAGTGGACGACAACGTTAATGTTGTCACCTTTTAAATGTTGCCATCTAAATGGATACTACACAGAGAGCTTCATTTGTCCGCATGCTCGTGACTTCCTCAACTCGTCCGGTGGCTACAAGACAATACTTGAGGCTCTCAGTCTTTGGCCTCACCGTCATGTTGAATCTTTTTTTGCGTACTACTCACTAGTCAGTTGTACTTCTCGTCATCTCCAAAACCATTAACATATACACTCTATAATTAAGTATAAACATTAATACTAAGATATGTATTTTGTATGACTTTGGAAACATCAAGTCGCGGTGTTCCTCACTTTCTCTCTCTAAATACGGCATCTTTCAAGTCTTGGAAGCTTCCAAGCGAAAAACGACACGCGAAAGAGAGCAGATCTTGCCCTTTACCTAAAATACCAACCATGTAATAACAGACAGTTTGAGATAGTTTCAGCCAGCTTTTCAAGACCAAGCTCCATGACAAGAAGAAAACCATTGCCCTTTCCATGGATTTGTTCCTCTGGAAAATCTCAGACCTCCCTTTTTTTTTCCTAATATATTTTCTCTCTGGCTTGTCGATGACGACAAGGATTGGTGGTGTTTGACATTTGGATCATGACGTATGGTCCTTGTGATTGTTATTATATTCATCTCGTTTAAGATTTTATAAGCTTGTCCTTTGCATGGGCTATATACCATATATGTACAAGAGATTAGGTCACAAATTCAAATGCTTAACGTTAACATTCAAGCTGGGAAGATTACAGTCACAGTAGGAGACAAGCTGCATTGAAACAAACTGACTCTGTGACTTTGAGCTTCTGGACAAGGATAGTTCATGAAACGGTTGTCATAATATTTGAAGTTGGAGTTAAAACAAGCAAGCTTGGCAAGAAGGGGTATCAAACACCAGTGAAGATGGTACAAACTGGTAAATATCCCAACAGAAGCAAGAAAATCAATATTTTGACGAGCTACACAACGTAAAAGTAACTGAGCACTGCTTTAGATTGTAATGTCAAACTGTGCGTGTGTGGGGCATGTGAGATTTGGGTAGCAGAACGCCTAATTTTACCTAGGATTTTCACCACCCGTGAACCCAAAGGTGTACGCTGCCTTCATCTTCTTACATATTAAAGTGACAGAGAAACAAACAAGTCATGTTTTGCTCCTAACACTTGCGTATGGCCAGTGGAATTCTGATTCAATTTTTTCGTATAAAGTTGTCGAGTTGAGGGTCAGGTTATGATTTCGATCGGCACGGGATGTATGCGTATAGGAACTTTGCTCATCAGCACCGTACATCAGAATCCACTGGCGCACCAAAACTTTTGGTAAATGATGTATGTGTTTAATTCATCTCAAATTTTATCAGAATATATTAAGCAAACTTACAGTTTAATAATTACATGCACTTAATCAGAATTCAGAAATATATAATATATATCGCTGGAGAGGAAGGCTATACTATATACTCTACACACTTAAAATCCCTATATCAAGATATTGCATAAGTGGGGGGAAAACATTACTCGTATGTTGCAATTCGTGAAATCTTTTATTCCACGAAAATGAAAGGGAAAATCTGTACGTTATCCGTACACTTGAAGAATTACAAGAGTTGTCCAAAGAATACCACCACGAGCAATCATCACGCTTACAACTTGATTATATATATTGAATGTAATAATAGAAACTGCCATTATTTTTTCCCTCTTTACTTATCCACATTGAACACCACTTTTGTATCTTTTTTTCTGTGGCTATCTCCACTTTGGTGTGTGTGCAGGGCTGTAGAGGCTGAGTTTTATTTCAAGGCACAGACGCGAAGTAATTCTCATCGAGCCTCGTCATCTTTAAACAGAGCTTCAATTTCCTCTAAGCTCTTACCTTTGGTCTCTGGCAGAAAGAAATAGAAGAAAATCGTAGCAAGTACCGTTATCCCACCAAGAGCCAAAAACATGCCCCCGAATGTTATTTCCTCAGATATGCTGAGAAATGTCATGGACACCACCCCGCTCACCAGCCGATTCACTGAAACAGCCAAGCCCGAGCCTTGGGCCCTTAACCTCAATGGGAATAGCTCTGATGAGTACACCCATGTTATTGGCCCAAGCCCAATAGAGAAGAAGGAGACCGCGCAGCACAGAGCAACCACACATAATGCAATGGCCCATCCAGGCTTGCTATCACAGTGTTCTAGAAGTTTAGAGCCCAGGCCCAGCCCAAACAGAGAGACTGCCATGCCAAATGAGCCCAATAGCAACATGGGCCTCCTCCCGACCCGGTCCAAGAACAGGGCAGACAACAAAGCAAAGCAAGTCTTGGCGATTCCCATGATAATTGTAACACCAACAAGCTGCTTCTCAGAGTGAATCCCAGCCTCCTTGAACACTTGTGGAGTATAATAAACCACAGCATCATTCCCAGAAGCCTGCATGAAGAAGTTGACCCCAATTGCAGCAACAAAAACTCGGAATACAGCTCGAGAAGGTCTCACAAACATGGCTTTCCGAGCCTCTAGTCCATGCTCTGTCCCCGAACAATTTGCTTTTGCAGCTTCCGATATCTCTGCAAGTCTCATTTCAGCTTCTTCTTTTGTCTCTGACGTTCTTAACAGAACATCCTTGGCTTCCCGAAATCTTCCCTTCAGGACCAGCCAGCGAGGTGACTCCGGCATTGCAAGCACACCAAATGCCACTGCAATTGCAGGCAAGGCTGCTAGACCAAGCATCAGTCTCCAGCTGATGTCATGAGAGAGACCTGATAGGGCATAGTTGGAGATGTAACCCAGAAGGATCCCAATACTGACGAAGACTTCTGGGAGGGATGTGAGGAAACCTCGAGACAAAGAAGGCGAGAGCTCGGCTACGTACACTGGGGCGATCATGAGGGAGTATCCAACTCCAATGCCTGCAACTACACGTCCTGCCATGAGGAATGTGAATGAAGGTGCCATCCCCATCAAGAGTGAACCTATCAGAAATGTTGATGCTGCTAGGATTATGGTGTAACGCCTCCCTATAGTGTCTGAGGTCTTGCCGGAGGCCAGAGATCCGATCAATGAACACACGTTCAGGCAACCCACTAGGATTTCTACTTGCGTTGATGTTATTCTCAGATTTTCCTTTATGAACAACACAGCACCACTCATCACCCCAATATCTGTACGAGACAAAAACGAAATCAAAGTTGATTTTGCTTGTACTTGAACTGATCGATTTCAATGAAATTACTCACCGTATCCCAAGAGAACGGAGTTGGTAGAAGCCAAAATAGCACAAGCAAGAGCGTATATATTGAGACGAGGATTGTCTTTATGGTATCCAGCTGCAGAATCGTCTTCTTCCACCCATGATGATCCTTCTCCTTTTCTCTGATACTTCAGATTAGTGTTTGCAGCGTAAGAATCCGAAGCAGGAAGTGGTTGGTAATAGTGGTGCTTGCCCTGTTCTGGATCAGGGCTGTCCTCCATCTCTGAAAGAGGAAATGCAGAAAAACGAAAGGGGCCGTTTCCAAAACTGGACAGAACCTGAACTCGATGGTCAATATATGAAATGTGATATACTCTGTTCAATCCCATTTATGAGCGACTTCCAACCCATTTCACGGAAATAAAAAACTTTAAATTTTATTAATTTTATTTAAAAATTTAATAAGTTTTCAATTAAACTTATTAAACAGACATATTTTAAAAATAAAATATCTTATTATTTAATAGGATAACATAATATTTCGGTAACAGAAAAGATCGGATTACATAATATAGACACAAAACAAAGATTCACTGTCCTATAAGAGGAATAACTAAATATCCATTTCTTTTACGTACAACAACAAAATACTACTACATGAAAGCCTATCTTCTTATTCTCTGGAGAAGACCAATTAAAGACAATTATAATTGGTAAAATAATGATTTAAAAATCCTTCATGTTGGCCCATCTTATGGATATTTCTCTTTAATAATTGGTCCAGGCTGCGCATTATACAGCTTTAAGACCCGCATGGTCACAGGATTCAGGGTCATTTCAGGTATAGTAATTTGCTATGATTTGCATCTTTGACATTAGTAATACAATACAAATATAAAAATAGGCTAAGATGACACACGACACGTAATTTTATATTATATCGTAATTAAAATATACAAACCGAGCATGAGTTGATCCAAAATCACACGTTTAAACGAGACGGTTGGGAAAAGCTGCGATCACATGATCCAAATAATTAAGTGGTCTCGTCAAAGCGTTTTCTTTGTCTCTAAACGTGTCAGACACCCAAAACATCACGTGCACAGTTTTTTGAAAGAAGCTTTGATATTTTCTGGTCGGTAATCATCCAAGGGGAAGCTTTCAGGAAGATATTGGGGTGTGAACACTATAGATTCCTCTGTATTATATCACAGAAATACTAATTCAACCAAAGCAAGCCTTGTCAGCCAAGTAATGAACTAGGCTAAATACAACCAGCTAGGGAGTCTAGAGGTTATATGGGTTTGTTTTATTAGAGATGAAACACGTCGTACGTAGTTAACTCACCATGTTCAGGAACAATGGATCATGAAGAGTTGGCCCACTTCGTCCATACAACAACTGGAATTTCTTCTCTCTCAGAACTCAGAAGCTTATGTTATGGGGATTCACTGGACCACGATATAAGGCTTGACAAGGTGTGACCAGATTGGAGCGTACTCGTCCCGTTTCAAAATATAAACATTTTTTATATCTAATTTTATTTTGAAATGTATATAAACAATTTAGCATATATATTTTTAAAATTTTATCTCTTACATTTATTAACTTAAATATTTGTATAAATGTATGTGAGCATATATAGATTTGAACATTGTTGAGCACTAGTCTCTTTCGCCTTGTTGGGAAGAAAAGTTTCTGATATCTGATTTTATTAGTCAATTGAGGTAAAGAAATCCACAATTCCATACACAGCAACAAATTGATTGACAATGTTGTGTAGTAGGTTGGGTATTAATAAGCCCAAGATTGGCGTTGATCTTCAGTAACATAATTCAAGAACAAGATCGAATTTACGAAAGCAAGGATAAAACAAACAATTAGCATTTTTTTAGCAAAGAACAACTAGCATGTTAATGGCCAGAAGTTCCTGTTCAGATCAGCCCTTTCAATTGTGGAAGTTCCATCCTAATTAAATTCTATATCGGAGGCAACATATTATAATGAACCAACTGTGGACCAATATAATTTTTAGGGAAAATAATAATTAGGAATCTTATAAGAATATCAATAACAATTACAGATCTTAAATTATTAAATTTGTAATAATAGATTATAATCCTTACTTGTAATAAATTATCTTATATTGATTGGTTTGATATTTATATTAGACTTTAATAAATTCTCAACTAATGCTAGAAGGATTTTCAACTATCTTTTGTTAATTTCTCAACTAAAAAAATTATAAGTGATTAACTTGCGATTTATAACTAACTCTTATAAATTTTTAATTAATATTGTAAATAATCTCAAGTATATTTAAAAGATTTCTCAAACTATTTACCTATATATTGATAGCAAAAAAATGATAAGTGATTAACTCACGATTTACAACTGACTTTCGTAAATTTATAACTAACGTTATAAATAATTTCAAATATATTTACTTAATTTTTTATTGACTGATAGTAAACAATAGATTTATCTATATATTGATAATAAAAAATTAAAATTTATTATTGACTCTTGTAAATTTTCAACCGATATTATAAATAATCTTAAATATATTTAATAAATTTTTCAATTTATTATTTACAAGTTTTTTAATTACAAGTAATAAAGGTAAAGGTGATGATTTATTATTGATATTTTAATAATTTAAAATTTATAATTGTTATTAATGTTTTGTTAAAATTCCTAATTCCAAATTGTCACTTTTCTTATATAAAAATATATGGTTTCTCGAAGCCTCTAGCTATTGATGAACAGCCTTCTAGCGAGTCTCTCTCTCACAGTATAATATTATTACGTTTCTTTTTGCAGGCAATGTTATATCATCATGTTGTCCCGTTGATTCACATACACTTGATCTACTAGTATAAATTCTCATTTAATTTTCATGTACATCGAGTACTGATTCGTTGCCGGTAAAAAATTCGTAAAAAGAAATTCCAGCCTGGCCAGTAACATCGATAGGCATACTTAGTTCATTTTTCTTAATCACATAAATGAACTGGCCCATTATATGTTATTCCTTTCAAATTATAATATAAAATATATTTTAAAAACCTTACTTCATTTAAATATAAAGTATTGAATTATTTTTATGTTTGTTTTTTTAGCTATACTCGTACTTCGTTTATTTTTTTAAAAAAATTATGTATTAAAATTTTAACTATAATTATCAAGACTTTTTATGTGGAGTATTTAATAAGGATACAATTAAATTAAAGAGATGTGAATATCTTTTAAAATTTAAAATTTTAATTAATATTATTTATAAATTATGAATTAGTTAATTATAATTTATGTTGTGTTTTGGACGGAGTATATTGATATTGAAACCACAACAAAACTCTGCGCGTAAAATTGGAAAACTCTGCATTGAGAAATCACTGTTAACGGAGAGTCAATCGCTAGGAGACTATAAATATTAAATACTAAAAAGGGGAAAGTACAGAAAAGTTTCATGCATAAAAATTAATTACAAATAAATTTCTTAAAAGTGGGTTATTGCTAACCGGTTTTATATGAAGAATTTGTGTAAAATTAAAGAACACGTTAAATAAGTTGTAAATTTCTTATGATTTGACTCACAAATGTTAGAAGAAGACTTGTAAATCACCATAGAATTAATGAACATTTTTTAAACATGTTTTCTTCTTATATTTGTAAATCAAACGGAAAAATTTCACAATTTATGCTTTTTTTTTGCACAAATTATTCATGAGACCCATTAACAATTAACTGTAAAATAACAATTATTTTAAAATAAAGCTCAAGCTTCAACCAATAAATGTGGTCAAATTGCTAAAGATTTGTTTAATAATTGACAAATTTATGGGATCAAATTATATTATTGATGTCACTACCTTGTTGATGGGTGATTCATAAATATTTTTTTCAATAAAATATTTTATTGATAATCAATTTTTAACAACTATCATTTTGATTATTAATTATTTAACTATCATATTATCTATATATAAAAGTAAAACTATAAACTTGTGTCTGAAGACCTCATATGTCCTTTAAGCTTTTTTTGTTTTTTGTTTTTTTGCTTTTTTTCATTAAAAAATAATTAAATTATTTTTCTCCCATATACCTATCCAAATGATGTCATGGGTCAGCTACAATTTTATGATTTATTGTTTATTTTAGAAATAAACAAAATTACCTCTCTCTCAAATATCTCTCCACTATTCCAACTTAATGTCAAGATTATAAGAATTAAAACAATAATAATCTAACTAAAAATTAATATTCAAATCCAATTTTATAATTAAAAAACCCACCTTCTCATACGTCTCTCCATTATCCCAACTCAATTTCAAGATTATAATAACTAAAATGATAATAGTCTAACCAAAAATTATTAACCACATTCAATTTTATAATTAAAAATAATAAGAAAACTTTTGATTTAAAAAATTTATATATAAAAATAGAATTGCAAGCCATCTTATAAGCTTGACATGCATCCAATTTATAAAATGCTATGATTTTGGAGAGCCACATGAAATTTTAGTTATGTTATATAAAATAATCGAACTTATATATATTAATTTTAAATTTCTTTATATTTCTCCTCATTTTTACATTCTGCAATCTATTCACTGTCATAACTTTCCAAGTGCTATTTAAATTTAATATTCATATTTTTTAAATATAAAAAGTCTCCACCATGAAAAATCATTAAAAGAAAAAAAAAATCAAACATTATATATTTCCCAAACTTAAAATTTCTCTTGATTTTTAGATTCCATAATCTATTCACTTTAATCATAACTTCCCAACTATTATTTAAACTTAATATTTTTAAATATAAGAAAAGTCTCCATCATGAAAAATCTTTAAAGTATTAAAAAATTCAAACATTATAACTCCTCCCACTCGAAAAATTTTCCACTACTATAACTCCCACTATTTGTTAACTTCATCATACTATCGTATCCTTCCAACTTCTCATTCCCAATTTTAAAATTCAATTTAAAAAATTAAAAAAAATTTAATTTTCATACCTTCCACACCCAACTCAAATATGGATTTCAAGCTATCTTTACTTTTAGTTTTAATATAACTATCATTATACTGCTCATGCCTTCCTTTTTTTTTTTTAAAGCTAACTCACTTTTTAATAGAAAACACGGAAATCAAAGGCTAATTGTTTTGTATCATCCTTCCCATGCTTGCTCTCCCTACTTAGTGTGATTGCAAAGAGAGGGAGTCTCTTCATTTTTTTCCCTCCATTTCTCCAATCCCTACCCTTCATTAATTTTGAAATTTAAAAAAATTATTTAATAAAATGACTTGAATGGTGAAAATTGGGGAACTGGAGGGGGAAAAATGGAGAGACCCCTCTCCTAATTGCAATCTCTAAAGGAATAAGATTAACAAGATGAAAGCCTTGAAGCACAGGTAGCCCCTCCTTGGTCATATAGTCAGCAATTTGATTTTCATCCTTTGCTCTCTATGATTTAACAAGTCAATTATTGCTTTGTAAGTTTTTTAACACCCATATCAACAACTTGATTTAGTGGTGAATGTTTTTGCATGAAGAGGGTGAGAGAATAATGGAAAAGAAAAATTTTTTGACATGCAGATAAAGTGAACAAGTTGTTGATGTTGGGAAGTTTTGGAGATAAAATATTCATGTTCTTCTCATGATGTCCATTCTTAGTGACATGATTAATGCATATGGAGACCCAAATATCATTTTGACATATCATGATGTAAATAAGGTTTGCTTCCTTAATGAAATATATTCATTTTGTGCCATATTCTTAAGTATCCCCCAATATATGCTTATTGTGAGAGTAGTTTGATATTGCTATTCAATTTTTTTCTACAATATGCTTTAAGGCTTTTATATGCTGCAATAAGGCTATTGCAAAAGAAATTGTTGGGCAAGAATTGTAGAAAGACAAATTCTATGAGCGAAGATTGAATACCTACAGAAAAGCAAATTCTTTGACACTCAAGCAACATGCTCTTCAACAACTTACCAAGTTTGTTTTCCTTAATATAGTTGATGCTAACTGATCAATTCAAGATGCTTTGAGAGAAAATGTTTCATCTCATTAAGTCTTTTCCATCAAAAGCGAAGTCAATTTGTTTGATGAAAATCATTGTTGCCTTGACATTGATTTTAACTCTTCTTAGATAGTGGCTCAAATAAGGAGAGCGTAATGCTAAAAAGAAGATGAAACATGAGATGATGGATAGAATGATAAGTAAATTCTTAACATGTTGAAAAACAAAATCTATACAGATGTATTTTATAATTTTATTATATATTTAAAATATAAGAATTTGTCAATTAAGGAGGTATTATTTTTAGAACACATCAGTTCTTATTTTGATCGTTGGTAACAACAATAGAGATTGAATTAATTGAGATAAAAAATAAGTCACACTAATTATTGAATGAGACATTAAACTTTGTTGCATGACTTTTGTTATGATGTATTGTGATATTATTAAATTTCATGTTTTGTAGTATCTTTATATTTAATTTATGGGTTACTTATTTTTTTTATGAACAATCATTTTAATTTAATAACAACTCATTTTGAAATTTAAATAAATCTCATTATTTATTTAAACTATTTAAAAAATTTTCACATCCCATGCATTGCACAGGCTGGCGAGACCCACTTGGGATCAGAATCTTCAGAAATTTGCCAATAAGTCTGAACATTACAGCTGCTGATTTGCGGAAAACCGAAAACATAACTGATTATTAATAATGGTTCATAGCACAGCAACGTACGAGTTATGACCCTCTGCCACTGCCCTTTTCATCTGTGATGCTTCAGACAACAAAATTTAGAAGATTTTGATCCACTTGCCTCAAATATTTGGTGCAAAACTCAAACCAATCTAATAATCTAATTACGTGGAAAAGATAGGGGCGAAGGCGTGGCGAGTTCAACAGTCTCCTCACTCTTCAGTAACAAACAAATAAACGGCTCCAAAAAAACATAAAAAATGGGGCAACTGACCCACACTTGCCCAAAAGTGAGGTGGACACCTACCTGCATTGCCACGTGTCATCAATTTCTGTGAGGTTGTTACGGCGTGTGGTCATCACAATCTTCCCTCTCTCCTTCGTTGCTCTTGTAGATCTCCCGCGAATCTGTACGCACACGACACACATGATATTTTCGGCCACAAGATTACAAAAACTGAACTTCGATGATCAATCATCAATAAATCAGTAACTTAACCAGTTGCTTAACTTACCAATTTGTGTCCACATATCCCTGAATTTCGTGTTTTCCATCTTCCAATCCTAGCCATGACCACAGTGGTGAAGCTGCACGTTTGCCCAGAAAACCTGGATTATCTTTGCTTCAAAGGTCACTATAGTAGGAGGTCGCTCAGACGAGATTTTTGCTGGTCCAGTCCGCGGAGAATACTTGGTGGCCGTAACGGGCTTTGTTGGAAACGATGCGGGGCTCTCAAGTCCGAGGATGGAGGGCATTTGGAGGAGAAAAAGTTGGAAAGTGAAGAAGAAGATCAAATTCTGAAGAAGAATGAGGTAAACTTGAATAGGGAAAAAGGGTTCTGGGTTTCAATGAAGTGTATCACGTTGAATACTTTCATGGCGAAGTCTAAATCGGACGATGAATATCGGCAAGCAGTGGTGAAGGTGGAGGAGGTGCTATCCTCGGTAAGTTGTTTCAAGTGATTATTATTATTCTGTAGTTTTCTTCCATACGTGGCCTTATCGGAAGTAAAGCTTCTGGATATTACCTATGCCCCTCGATCACCAGGTGATTTTGCTCTTAGACGATTGAAATTTAAAATTTTATTAGAGCTTTTCCTTATCCTTGCCAGCATACACTTTTAAGTTGAAATAATTCTTTGAAAAAAAATTGACATAATTTTGACGGGCGTCAATAACCTCCTTGACTAAGTATTTCCAAGAATTCTGGACTCTAGTCTTCAAGATTCATGGCTCTCCGTAATTCTTAGTTAAAATTAATTGAGCCCTATAGTTAGCCCGTGGTTTGTATCTTAAAGCTTCTGAGTTAAATGGTGGGTGGTAAAAATTGAAGCTTTCCTTGAATTAAAAGAAAATTTGGCTTCGTTAGTTGACTGGATTGAAATTTAAAATAAAAGGGAAAAGAAAAGAAAAAGAAAAAGAAAAGACATGGTTCTTTGTGGTTCTTTGTCATTGTCTTTGATTTGATTCGTTAAGTGGTTCTTTGTTTTCAAAGACTAAAAAAATAAAACCAACAGAGAAGCAAAAGCTAGCTGAGTTCAAGAAGAACAATTATGCTGGTGATTTCTTTCTCTTTAAGTCAAGTTGGATTTAAAACTAGATGTTATGGCATTAAAGATGAGTAGAGCACTTGATCAAACAATTTCATTATGCATTAATTCAGTTGTTTGTGGATTGAGTGCTTCAATAAGGCCTCTGTGAACCACCAATTTCGGTTCACTTCTTTTAACATGACATTAGCTATAAGAAAGCAGATGTTTTTATAGACTTTTTATTGTTACTGAATTATATCATTTCGCATGTCCTTAAATTTTCTTTTTCATTACTTTGGTAGAGGGACAACTATAATAAGTTTTTTTGCGGACACCGGACAGATGGATCCCAGCTGCAGCATTTATATTTTCTTGGTTTGTTTTAAATATTGCTTTTGACGGTATTTTTCTCTATGAGAAACAGGTTGCCCTTCAATTTGGAAGATATATTGTAACAATGACGAGCACGGGGGTAATCCTTATAATTGGATTTTTGATGTCAGGTTGGTATATACCTGTCTTTCAACCGAGATGTGTTTGCAAATCTTTTTGCTCTAATATGCATTGCTATCCCATACCAAATGTTAAATTATCTGCAAATTTTGCGAAGGTGGTGATAGCCAGATGGATGGACTGATATGGTATAGCTGGCTTGGAGGAATAATCATAGGAACAATGATAGGTGCTAACATGGTGTTGGAGGAACATTGTCGTGCTGGTCCTCGTAATGTTATCATAACCGGGAGGTATACTCGCTTCATCTGTGAAAGTTTATCTTGATCATTTTCTATGATGGAATTCCATCTCTTTTTGCATGTTGACTATGAGTTATATCATCTTAGAATCATTGATTTTGTGGATTGTTCTTTTTCCTTTTTCTGAATTCTGTGCCATGTTCCATGCAAGTCTCATTTCTTAAATTAACAGCAAAGTGATTCAGCTGAAGAAAACAAATATGTTTGTTATTAGTATGCCTATACAATATTATGCATATCATAAGCGGCTCAAACTGGAAGATGTATCTATCACTCTAAGATATTATGTCATTATGTGGGCTCTTCACATATGGCTCTGCAAATTTGAGGTTATGTGCTTACATTATGAACTTATTAAAAATTGACATCTGTTTTTATGACATTATTTCTGCATCTCCATAATGGTCTGTGCAGTACAAGGGGATTGGGTAAAGCACTTGCACAGGAATTCCTTCTATCTGGAGATCGAGTGGTTGTTACCTCTCGCAGGTGGTGTCCTTGACCACGAGACCTTATTTAGTTTAATTGAGATTGAAATTTGGAGTATCGTTTGTTTGTAATCTACATAATACTCACATCAATGCTTCCACTTTCATTTTCAATGAAAGCAGCCCTGAATCTGTGCAAGCAACTATAAAAGAGCTAGAGGAAAGCCTGAAGGAAGGCATTGCATCTGCAGTAGGCTCATCTCTGACAAAGCTGTCTCATGCAAAAGTAGTAGGCATTGCCTGTGATGTTTGCGAGCCTCATGATGTGCAGAGATTGGCAAACTTCGCTGTCAGTGAGCTTGGATGTATTGACATTTGGGTGAGTATCGCAGCCATTCTGGCTAAGACACGAAGCTGACAATATTTAGTGTTTGAATTTGTATTGTGTTGTTCTCAATCATAAGTTGGTGTTATTTATTTACATCACAACACTGCTCTCCGACATTTTTTTGGTACATATGAACTGAACGTAATATTGTGATCCTGTAGTTTTTGTTCAGACTCTGAATTGTTAGATTTGTTTTCATTTGTTTTGTATAGGATTTACATGTTAATATCATTGATAACAATGTGAAATCATGGGTAGCAGTATTCACTATGAGACGATGAATGGAAATGCAAATTTTCTCTTCTAAGAATTTTGTAACTTTCAGGGGCTGTTAAGATATCCATTATTGAAGACATTAAAAATCCAAAGATTCCATATAATGAGCAGAATGTAGTATCTATTTATGTTCCGTATCTTTTACTGTCTTATATTTGAACTCAGATAAACAATGCTGGCGCAAACAAAGGTTTCAGACCACTGCTTCAATTCAGTGATGAAGATATTAGACAGGTATATGTTATTTAGTAGTTCGTTTGTTTTAAAATTAAATATTCATGACTTTGATTGCCAGTTGAGAGGTTCAAGTCTTGTACGCAAATTCACTTATAATAGTTGACTTCATCTTACAGTATCTGTTTCTTCCATCTGGTTTGCCTGTAGATTGTTTCAACAAATCTGGTTGGATCTATAATTTGTACGCGAGAAGCCATTCGTGTAATGATAAACCAACTCAAGGGGGGCCACATATTTAATATGGATGGTGCTGGTTCTGGAGGTTCCAGCACCCCTTTGACAGCTGTGTGAGTTTTTTCCTTGGTACTTTGTTTCTTCTCCTTTTGGAGGATGCTAATGGTTTCCAAACGATGTTTTTATACTCGTGTTTACTCATGTCATGATGATGCTCACAAGTCACAATGACATTTTGTTTCTTAATATTTAACATGTAGTTACGGTTCCACAAAGTGTGGCCTAAGGCAGCTTCAAGGATCACTGTTGAAGGAATGCAAAAGATCTAAAGTAGGAGTGCATTCAGCATCCCCTGGCATGGTACTTACGGATTTGCTATTGAGGTACTTTTCAATTTAAACCTGTTTCTGTTTCTGATATGGTTTTCTTATTGATGCTGATGGATCACGTTCCTGAGTGAGTTAATTCAGAAAGTTCCAAAGTCCATTTTATTTTCCCTTCCATTACACCAACATTTTCTGTTACATCCATACCTAACTAGTGAAATAGTTGTGTGCCTCGTATGTTACATTGAATTCCCTCTTTCTCTAAAACTATTCTAAAACAATATGATGGCTTCTGTACAGTGGCTCAACTGTACAAAACAGACAAATGTTTAACATCATTTGCGAGCTTCCTGAAACTGTTGCTAGAACTCTAGTTCCTCGGATGCGGGTTGTCAAGGGAACAGGCAGGGCTGTCAATTACTTGACCCCTCCTAGAATCTTATTTGCTTTAATCACTGCCTGGTTACGACGAGGCCGTTGGTTTGATGATCAGGTAAAAAGTTCATTTGGGTATGTCATCTTAATTCATCATTTTGCAAATACTTACAAGTCACAACATAGCCTTGCTCCTAAAATTGCATTAAGCAAGCCCACTTCTGTGGGACTCATGAGGGTTTCTGTACGTCACATCCTCATTCTCCTTCACTGTCCTCTTTTCCCTTGAGGTGGCACTTTTGGCTTGTACTTAGATGATTGCTAGTTTAGGTATTCAAAAATTACATTTCAATTACCATTAAAAAAAGAACATACATTTCATTTTTCAGTAGATATGGATTGGAGTTGTTGAATAGAAATGTCAAGCAAGAACTTAGCATCTATATGTATTTCAGGGGAGAGCCTTGTATGCAGCTGAGGCAGATCGACTCCGAAACTGGGCTGAAAACCGAACCCGTTTTTCAATCACTGACGCGATGGAAATGTACACTGAGAACACCTGGGTATCAGTCTTCTCGCTTTCTGTTGTCTGTGCCTTCATAATTCTTTCCAGCACAAGCAGCAACTTGCCCGGAACTTGATATCTTGACGATATTATGATAGTGCATTTGCTTTTAGTCGGTAGGCAAATTCATGTCTGAAATCATCAATACAACAGAAAGAAGCAGGTGGACCTTTTATCCCACCATATCCGTACAGCATGCTTCCTATAATGAGCTCACACACTTTGCTTTGTATGTATCACTCTCAAGTGTGTTGTTTTGGTCTCTCTGTACATAGTATACTGCAAATGCAATGAAGCATTCCGCAATCAGACGCAATTTGACCATTTTCGTATTTGGGAAGGAGATCTTCTAACAGTTAACTTATTGGGCCCAGAAAATGATGATGATGATGATGATGATGATGATGATGATGATGATGATGATCAAACCAGATGAGTATTTGTAACTATTTGAAACTAGCTTAGATGACATGAAGATTGGATAAGGTATAGTTAGTGGTATAGGGTTTAAACATTCTTGATACATGAAAAAGATGATGATTGCTTCTTTGCATAAACTTCTGTGGAGCAATAGTTTGAGACGTTGAACATTGTTTGGTAGACAGGTATGTTTTTTAGGAGTAGGTGTTACCAAAACACGGGGGTAAGAAATAAATAATACAAGTTGATTATCCTTCTGCATGACAATCAATAAGAACAATAAAATAATGAATTGTCCATCAAGATTGGGGCTGGAAGTCAAAGGACGAGACAAATTCATCTCACCGTATTGTGTGGGTGGTGGACTTTTGCGGCCACACAAATGGCAACGGAGTTTTTTATTTTTTAATTATTATTATTGTAAAATTATGATAAAACTGTGCAAAAAGATTAAGATCTAGTTATATATAAAATTATAAAGTTTGAAAATATTAAAAATTGTAATGTCAAAGGTGACATGAGGTGATTAGTGGGTTAAGAAATTAGCATATCTATTTTTTTTCCCTATAAATGTGATTAAAAAAATAACATTGAATTTTGGAATAACATGCCATACACATTACTCGTAGTGGAAAATGGAACCATTTAAGAAATGATATTTACATTTTGGACCTTTTTCATTGGAGTTTTTTGTATCATTACAATCAGACAGCAGATGAAGAGGTGTTTGTTAGCCCAAAAACAAAAGGCAAACTTTCCTAATAATAGTATAATTCACTTCATGTTTTATTTGAAGTTAAACTCAACCGCGTTCGCGTTTATTAAAAATTTGGTAGTTATATTCTTCAAATTAGTTAAAAAACATGTAACTTTTTAATTTTGTCCTTCTTTGCAATTAGTAACTATAATAAATTACTCTCAAAGAATTCAAACGATAATAAATAAATAAATAAGAGATAACATTGAAAAAAAATAATTATTCTGACTTTGTCTTGAATTAAGAATAATAAATTTCTTTTTTTTTCTAAAATTTGCTTTATGATAAAGGTGGAAGAGACTACCATACATTTTTAATTAATATTAAATAGTTAAAAATGTCTTATATTTTCTTTGACCCAAAAAAATGTCTTATATTTTATTTCCAAGCCGAGCAAGTATAATTGTTTCCCCGATCCATGTGACTCTTACGTTATTTTCCACTTTCCAAAGACGGGCTTCACACTTCTCAGCGAAGGAAGAAGCAGAGGTGCCCACAACCAGAGCTCTATCTAAAACAAAATAAAATAAAAAGAAGGCCCCATTTAGTAGAAAGGTCACCCGAATGTTACGCCACTTGTTTCGAGCGGACGAGGCAATATATAATTCAACATCCATGTGAGCCCGTTTACCAAACAATATTGCCGTCTCAATCTTTAATCAAGAGATTCAATATCGTCTCCATTTCGACCAATAATTGACACTGTTAAATCTGAATTAGCTTGTACCTATCAAAAAATAAACCAATCAACCTGATGAAGGAGGGTATTGGTTGAAGCGTTTCTTCCTTTCATTGGTTGTTCTTTACTTGTTTTGTGCTTTTATTTTGACAGCAGCAGGGGATCCAAACCAACATCCTTTAACCCAAAGACAAAAATCTCATGTGCTCAACAGTTTCAATCTCAACATTACATATATCACATACAAGTCTACTTGCACATTTAAAAAAAAAAACAAATCATCTTTAGTAGCAAGAGAATTATTAACAATTCTCCAAATAAAATGATTTACCTTTGGCAACATTTTTATCTTCCAAATCCCATCCCAAAACTTTTTCGAGACGATACAAACCCACCAACATTCAAAACATCTTGAAACCTCACTGTTAAATTCAAGAATCATTATTTTTAAGGGTCAAAATGAATGCTATATTAGTGAGAATAATATTTTGAAGTACAAAATTTAAAATGTTATTTGTACAATAATTTAGAGTTTAGAATATTTATTAATCCTCTTTTTTTAGAGTGAGAATAAATATCTACGACATGGGTCAAACTTTATGCTGAATGTGATTTTTTTTAAAAAAAAAAAGTAGATTAATGAAGAATATACTGGTAATAATTCTTCGAGTCTTATCATTCTTGAAAATCCTTGAGGAAAAAACGTGTGAGACAATAATAGAATATATTACAACTCTCCATATTCCGAAGTGACACAAGGGTTTATCCTCATCAGTGAACTTGCATACATGAGAGAATTATAAACACTGACCAAATAATAAAGTTAGTTATTCATAATGACTTCTATTTTAATTCTTAAATTATTGCTAAGGACCTTGGGTTCTTCTCATGTACGTGTGTGCTGTGACCAAAAATGCTTTTCATTGTTTAAGTATGTTTTAAGACCCCAGCGACCAATTGAATTGGTTGAACCACCGCCTGAATGCAAAAGCAGTTTACTCTGACTCATTAGCTCATTTTGGATAACTTCGATATAACAGGGATCAACCTGAAATACAAAACAATCGGACTGTTTTTTCCTTTTTTACTTTTACTTTGATAATAAAATTTTTATTTGATTTAAAAATATTAATGTCAACTTGCCTCTAAGTTATTATAATAAAATTTTAAGTGCATAATTTGTTTATTAGCATTTTATGAATGAAAGCATAGAGAAAATTGAAAACTTGCGTGTTTTAAAAGGACAAATAAAATAAATAATATGTATATATATATGAAAAAAATGAGAAAATTAAAACTTAACACTCTCTTAGATCATATTTATAGGGCAAAAAGAGAAGATTTTTTTATCCTATTTATAAGTCACATCATTAAATTTTTATTATAAATTTCTTCTTTTATCCTTCATTGAATATTGAAGAGAAAAAATATATTATTAAAATATGTATATTTATTTAATAAGGGGTAAAATCAAGAACTTATTAAATTTTTAGATAAAGTTTATGAGATTTAAAGTCTTTTTAATTCTAATAAAATATATTAAAAATGAGTTATAAATAGAATAAAAAAAGTATGTTTTGACCCAACAACTCTAAATCAAGAATAATATTGTTAGTATTTTATTTATATTCTTACATATAAATATTATTTTTTATTTAATTATTATGTCATCTATACTATTATTGTGTTAACTAAATAAATTATAAGAATCGTGACTTGCTGCCCTTTATGGTTAGCAGACCGAACCCATTTTTAGAACATTAATTTAATAGCCACACACACAGTATTAGTGTCACTCCCAAATTTAGCTCTCAATTTTGCGATGTGCCATTAATTCAAAAACTTACTGTACCAATTTTTTTAAAAAAAATGTCACATAAATAAAATTGAAAAGTATCTTTCAAATTCAGCACTCAATTTCAGAATCTCTCGTTTGTTCAACAATTTAATAGTCACAAAATTGAAATTTGAAATTATCAGTCCCAAATTTTATTACACGTCTCAGTTTCATAAAAGGACCAAAGACCTTAGGAATGATTTCAGAAATTAAAGATCTTTATGTAATTAATTTCATTATTTGGTCTCGGTTTCTAATTCTCTCTATTTGTTGGCCAACTCCATGTTATAAAATCTTCTCCTTCCCATCCTATTGATAAATTACTTTCACCGTTTTTTTAATATCAAAATTAATAAAAATATTAAAATTTATTAACTTTAACTTGTCTAAAAATATAAAAAAAATTAAATTTGCAGTTATTAAATATGTATACTTCAATTTGATCAAAAATATATATGCACTTTAATAACATATTTTTTCTCATTAACATTTAAAGAGAATAAATCAGAAAATCTATGACAAAAAATCAATGATATAGTTTTATAAATATGACAAAAAGATTATTCTCCCTCAAAATAGGAAGGTTACTTGTTGTCTACCAAATTGAATTCATTTAAGTAAAATAAAGACAAATTGTTTCGTCCAAAAAAAGAAAGAATTATTTAATATTATCAAATAGAATAGCCGTCCAAAAGACTTGGTCAAATTCTAGAAGGAAAGGCAACGCCAAATGGCTCTCTCTCTGAGTTTTGCTTGGAAATTTCAATCTCTAATTTTTTTTCCCAAGCCGCTCTGTTGCCCCATTCTCCTTTAAATTTCGTGTACACTACCAAAATGGCTTTACACTTTAACCAGTTATATTGTTAATTGTTAATTGAATATTTTGTAAAATTAATTTATTAAAAAGTAAAATAAGTTGTTAATAATTCTAAAAAATTATCACTTATTTACATGTTATTCTGTTAAATTTTTCCCAAAAAAATTACTTCAAGGCAACAATGATCAATTTAAGACATGATATTATTAGGAGTATCAGACAAATCCGCCTACAACTCTAGAGCGTATGGATAATAATTTAATGAAATATTAGAATTTAGACCACGTATATTTTATTTAAAGGGAATAAAGAAAAGAGTTAAGGTATAATTTTATTTTTATACTTATCTTTTAAAAGTAACGGGTACATTACATTCTTAAGTAGGGTAATTTTATTCTTAAATTATTTTTTCGAGGAGCTAAAAATTTCTCCATTAATGAATCGTTAACTTTGCTATTATATGCTGATGTGATGGACCCACACATAGTGATGAGTTAAACTTTGACCATATTCTTTAGTGCTAATTTATTCCTAAACTTTTTTTTCTAGAGTGTTGAGCACCTTAAAATTTTTTTTAAAAGCAATGGGTATCCTGAAGTCTTATTAAAATAAAATTTAATAAATATTATTAAAATATTAAGCATTTAATATTTAATAAGTATTATTATTTAAAACATTATACTACCCAATTTAATATTTTATAATTTTGTATTAAAAATAAAGGGAACGAACCTCTAAATTAATGAAAGGAATTTTTTTTATTAAGTAACTTTTTTTGTAGCACATTAATAGAATAAAATATATCTTTTAAATAAATATTTTTGTTATCATTTTGTTGGTCTTGATTGTGATATTTCTAATTTTTATTATCATTTTGTTGGTCCTAAGTGTCATATTTCTAATTTTACTTCTAATATTACAATGTACAGAGAGTATTAAATTTGGATGGTATAATATTTTGAAGAGAAATCATTAGTTGACTAAAAAATTAAAGAAATTAACCAATATTAAAAATATCAGTAAGTTCTGACATGCACAAAAAATGTAATAATTTGAGTACTGTCTTGAAAAAAAAATTGAAGATTGATAT